CATAAATTCAAAATTAAAATTACAAATTGTTAATATATTTTGTGAAATCTTTATGTAACAATCAGTGGTGGAGCCATGTGTTACCTGAGTGTGGCTTCGATCCGGGCTAAATTTTAACAAATTGTATTTATTATGTATAATTATATAATTAATTATAATTTGGCCGAGTTAAAATTATAATTTGACCCGAGCTACAATTTGTAATTTGACTTTATCTAAAACTTAAAATATTTTTGGTAAAAAATTTGGGTATATTGTATTACGTTATCTGTCAATTTTCACTTTTATAAATATATATATATATATATATATTTAGTAAAATTAAAAAATATTTAATAAAATTATAATTCTTTTTAGTGTTGTCTGCTCAGGTGCTCTGTATTTAATATAATTTAAATATATTATGATATGAACTAACTAAAATTAAGAAAAATAAATATACATATAATTTTTTAGCCCGAACTCAAATTGAAGCCCGGCTCCGCCACTGGTAACAATTATATTACTTCTCGTTCCCTTACAATAATTGCTTTTGTTGTTAATTATTTAAAGTATTGGTGGATATGTAAGTTTTGGAAATGGATCCGCCACATGGTCATGTGAGAAGATCACAACCATACAAAAGTAAATCAACGGTTATGCTTTTGTAACTACCTATTTTAATATATTTTTTTTATCCTCTTTTATTACTATTGATCTACCTTTATATGGTTATGATTTCTCGCATGACATGGTCATGTGATTTTTGATCTAGATCCGTAGGTTTTTGGGTTTGGTTTTGATTTATGAATGTGGGGCAGATGATAGAGATGAACGAAAATAACAAAAACACTTAAATGTACAGGGTTAAAATTTTGCACGGTGGTATTCTCCCTAAGATCAACCATGTCCTACTACTCAAGAAGAACAAAAAATCCACCATCTTAATTTTTTTTCTTAAATTTAGATTTGGTTAAAAATAAATGGTGATATAACTTCTCATATTGCAGGAAAAGTTATATCTCCTATTATTCTCACTTTGAAAATGAGCCACTCTTTTAAAAAAAAAAAAAATCGGCGGAATCCGCTTTATTTGTTTCAATAGGAAACAGTGCTCCACTCCTACTGCAAGAGAAGTATATAAAATTCAAAATAAATATAAGAAATAAAAGGAAGTAATATTTCATTAGTGTTGAAATTAAAAAAATCATAAAAAAAAAGGATCCTCAAAAATTATAATATTTATAAATTGAGTATTAAGCATCACTTCTCCTATTGTAAGCACAATTTTTTACGTGGAGGTCATTTATAATTAAAAGAAAATTCGTCACGTATCTGCTGGAAGGGGATAAGTTCTCCGTAACATGAGAAACTCAACTCCCTTATAAATTATTACATAATATTATAAATATCTACATTTTTTAAAGAGTAAATATTTTTTGGGTCCTTAACAAAAAAATACGGTCTCCAGTTTAGGTTCTTACAAAAAAATTTAGTGAGTTAGTCCTTATGAAATTCAAAATAGACCCATTTTAGTCTTTTTAAGGGACTAATGTGGGTTTTTTTAAATTATGAGGGATCGCAATTTCAACTAAATGGATCCACTTTGAAATTTTTAGGGACCTCGAGACTAATTTTTTTATGTAAGAATTAAAATAGATATCATATTTTTTGTTAGGGACCAAAAATGATATTTATCCTTTTTTAAATTAATTTATGCCTAATACACGCACAATGTTAATTCTTTTGGTAATAATTACAAAAATTCCCCTCAAGCAAATATTTTTAGCTTAACAAATCAAATGTGAAGGATTTTTACCCGGTAACAATAGAAATAGGGTAAAACATTCTTCTTGTCTGATAATTTGGGACATGAATATCCAATACTCAATAAATGAAATATATCCTTAATCATGTATAAGACAGAAATTTTCTTTCAATATATCCAATTTTAGAAACTGGAATTAGTTTAAAAATGTTATATTTAATAATTATTATACTACTTATCGATTTAGTAATTACATAAATGGAATACATTATTTATAAATGTTTTTTAATGAAATTAATAGTAAAAATAATAATAAATGAATAAATCGATCTATTTGACTTTAACATTATTTTAAAAATAAAAAATTAAACTTATTACGTAAATAATTTTTTTTTTAAAAAAAACTTTAACTTAAATTTTTTATTAATTTAAATTATATATAATGAAATTTTAACTTATTTTCACCTTTACTAAGTGTATATACCACTAAACGAAATATGGGACGTTAATTGAATACTTTTTTAATTTTTACAAACTTTTTAATTTTACTTTTTTACACACGAGTTACAGTCTTCCTTTTCTTTTCTTTTTTAACTTTTTACACTCTATTATAGTGGTTTTTTTTTTTTTTTGGAAATCTTGAAATTTTATAATAATCAAATGATAATAACTCAGTTGACGCATTGAAGTTAAGCAGGTAGAGGTGAGTTCTCTCCGGTATCATCTTTGAAAGGAGTTTAAAGCCTTAATTTTGAACTCGCTTCGAACAGAATTACTTCCCGTGAAAGATATATGTGATCTATTTTCTAGTAAATTTTTTTAAGGTTGCTTATTATAATATTTAATTTTGGATTATTGATTCTAATTCTATCTAATTCTTTTTAGATAATGTGTTTATATCTTATATTTGTATATATATGGACTTTTTAATATGAAAAGCATTTTAAGCTCAAGAAATTAAATTTCAAATTCAAACAGACACGTATCGAAACTATCAACATACACAAAATTTTCTGTGTATATTACCTAGTAATCAAATCACATTTATCAACCAACTAAGGTGGCTCAATTGGTAGCATGAGGACTGAATGGTAGAAGAGGATTTCGATTCGAATCCCACCAACATCATTTGGGGAGGAGTATAAATACCGTAATCTTTGAACTCGCACTCGAACTCTGGATTAGTCTCATAGGCGGCTCAAAGAGTCAAACCCGTGGGGATACCTGATGGTTCTGATTCGCCTCAAAGAGATAATTAGGATCAGTTTCCAAATAAAAAATCACATTTATCACTTTCCTTAAAATAAAATCAAAATCATGTTCATTACTTAATCTGCCTGAACAAATCAAAGTTAAGAAACTAAATTTTTTTAGAGTATGCATGACAACTATTCTGTTACTGTTTTTGAAGAGAAACCATTCTTTTCTATTTCTGTGCCTTGGAACACTTCTGAGAAAAAAAAATGTGTTTGATAACATATTCTATTTTTATTCCAAGAATGAGAATTGCGTTTGATACCACAACAAATAATATAATAAAAAATAATTCTTATTAAACATAAAAAAATTTCAGATCATCACTATTCTTTCCATATGATGTGGTGGCGGCGATGGTGATGGCGATGGTAATGGGCGTGGTGGTGGTAGTGATGGCATGGAAGTGGAGGTCGTGGTGGTGATAGTGATGGCATGGAAGTGGAGGTAGTGGTGGTGGCTGCGACGATGGTGATAGAGGTAGTGGCGGTGGTGGCTACATTGATGATGGCGATAGTGGTGGTGGTGGCCGCTGCGGTAGAGGTGGTGTGGTACTGGTGGCAATAATGGTGGCATGGTAGTGGCGACGATGATGGTAGTGGTGGTGGTGATGATGGCAATGGCTATGACAATGGTGGTAGTGGTTGGCGACAGAGATGGTGATGGCGGTGACGATGGTGGTGGTGATGGTAATGGTGTGGTGGTGGTGGTGACAGCAGTAGCTGTGACATTGATAGAGGTGGTGATAGTGGCGATGATGGTAGTGGTGGCATTGGTGGCGTGGTGATGGTGATGAAATAGTGATGGCAGTGGCTGCAGCGATGATAGTAATGATTGGTGACGGTGGTGATGATAGTAGTGGTGGCGATGATGGTGGTGACAACAGTAACTATGATGAAAGTGATGGTGGTTGGTGGCGGTGACGGTAGTGGTGGCATCGTGGTGGTTGTGGTGGTGGTGGTAGTGGTGATGACACTAGTGGTACGACGATGACGACAATGGTGGCAGTGGAGGTGTCGGGATGATGGTGGTGGTAGGGGTGGAGACTGCAGAGTGATTGAGAGACAAATGTTTCTTATTTTGTGCCGGGAACAAAAGAACAGAAATTTTTTTATTCTTTTTTCTGTTCCCCATTACAAAAATTAAACCTGTTCATCTCGAGAATAAAAAATTAAACCAATTTTACCAAACGAGTTTTCCATTCATTTTTGTTCTCAGAAATAAAAATTAAAAAAAAAAATTCGTGAAGATTGTCATGCACATCGTTAATATTACGAATACCAATTTGGTACTCATTTTTACTAAAACGAATTTTTCTTTCCATTTTAACTCATATGTTTTTTGAGGTAGGATCTTTTTACACTAGTGTCAAATTTTAAATTTGACACCTTATCTGATAGTCGTTAGATCAAACAAAATCAATGGTATCATATGCTTACAAATCAGAGTCATTGATCTTTTTTGATCTAACGATTATCAAATGAGGTATTAAAATTAAAATTTGACATCGATATCAAATGATCCTATTTTTTTTTATAATTTTTTTAAGTCCTAAATTTGTTTTCCTTTTGGCATGAATGTACTCACATCAGGTGTACCCAATGTATTCTCCAAAAATTCAAGTACTTTAAAAGATAAATTAAAACCTTCAACTCTAATTTAAGTACTGAACTTAATTTAACCCCAATCAACTCTTTATCACCAACTGTAGCTCAAGTAATTAGGCACTAACGCATTGTGATGTGCGATCAACATCAGAAAATTGAAATGGCAACATTTAGAAATTTGTAATTTTAAAACTTTAAAATTAAGGCTTTATTAATATTATGTAAGTTCTCTCATGCTATAGATACAATCATGTGTGAGATTCATCCACTTATACAAAAAGATAAAAAAGTAATACGAAAATCGATGTATGTGTAGGAGATAAAAAGACTCTCCTACAACATAAATTTTCTCTTAAAAATATTATTCTCTTAATCATTCTCTCTCTCTCTGTTTTAAATCTCATTGTTTCAATGTTCCTTTGATCTCTACATGGAGATGCACACTTGACCTAGGGTTTGATCATACCGATTCCAAAACTCAGGTATCTCCATTTTTTTTTTCTGTTATGTTATTGCTCTTCTCCACTCTGGCATGTGAACACTAATTTCTTTGTCTCATGTATGTTTTTCTTCATTCCCACCCCAAATTTTGCACATCATATAGTAAGATTTGAAACTCCGATCGGAGCCTTATCCATAATTTCTTAACCTTCAAGCATCTAATTGAGACACGAAAGTTTCCAAATTTAAGATAGAAAAAAAAAAATATAGAAGTGAAGAGCTTGCTCATATAGCTGGTGATTTGGCCTATGGCTATGGGGATCTCTAGATTGGGGTGGCAGCATAAAGTTTCTCACATCACTTGAGAGAGAGAGAGAGAGAGAGAGAGAGAGAGAGAGAGAGAGAGAGAGAGAGAGAGAGAGAGAGAGAGAGAGAGAAACTTTGGATAAGAAGTGAGGTGAGGTCTTTCACCTGATTCACACTCTTACTCCTTCTAACTTTGGTTGTTATTGTTCTTCTAATACGCAGCTGATTTCAAAGTTCTAGTCTGTTTGAAAACGAAAGAATTTTGTGGTTGGTTTTGGTGGATTTTATAATTAATTAATTAATTAATTTTTGGGCTTTAACAGAGACCCCAAACGATCCTTCTGTGGTCCACAATTTTGAAACCATGGAATTTTGTATTAATGGAATCTGACATTTACTTGAGCATAGAGATAGGAATGAGTTTTTTTTTTTTTTTTTTTTCTTTTTATGTCTGATACCGTGCATGAAAACCATGATGATGTTAATATCTTTTGTTATGTGAATCTGTGCTTTGCAACTGATATTGCTTGCCTTGTTTGACTACAAAGTTCGAACTGAATGTAAAAAGATGGACTTTTGAGTGGAGATTAGTATGGAAGATATGACAATCAAGATATTTCATCTGTTTTGAATTTTGATAGCCTTAGAGATTACAACATGGACGATGAGAGCGGCCTTGAGCTCAGCTTGGGTTTATCTTGTGGTGGCTTGTCGGTCAAATCCAAGGATAAGAATGGTGGCTCCTCGGATATTAAAGCTGAAGAAGTTGGTAGAGGTGGTAAAATGGTTGATGACTTTAAGAGCATATTTGATAATGGTCCTCAGAAGCCAGAGACAATTACTGGGACTCGAAGAACTGATTACTCAAAGCCTGAGGAGAATTTCTTTAGTGTTATTTCAAAGGTGAAGGAAGATAATGCTTCTTTGAATTTAAATGGTAGAGGATTTCTGGTTGCAAACAGTAATAAACCTATTGAAATCGAGGAAGATAAACGATTAGAGGCAGTAAACAAGCGGAAAATGTCTTTTGATGAGATGCATAATCAAAAGAAGCATGATAGCGATGTTCATTATGCTGATTTACATGACAGGGGAAGAACATCTCACATTTCTCTAACAGAAGATGGCTCCACAGCAGAAAATGAAGATGTGGCAGATTCTGAAGCTGATAACTCCACCTCTAGGCCTATCTCACATCACAGTGATGGTCCTAAAGGATTCATCAGAGTTGGCGCTTCTTCTGATGCTCCAAAAGAGATTCGTGGAGTCGGTAACTCGAATACCAGTGACTTTAATGGGCAGAAGAGGTTTACTGGATCATCAGAAAAAGATTTTAAGCATGCAAACATGACTTATGGCACTTCCTTCTCTGTTCATCCAGTAAATATGATGAATGTGCCTTACCCTTCTCCAGTAAAAGAATCCAACTCTGTTGGGGCACCAGGCCCTCAGATACCTGGAGTGATGCATGTGATGCCTACTGCAACTGGTGAACGCTCAGGAGCCCAATCTGTGAGTAATGGGAGCTTGCCAGTGATGTTTGGATATCCTTCTGTTCAGCTTCCCATGTTGGATAAGGATAGTTCATGGGGTTTGGTTTCTCGTCCTCAACAGTTACACCTTTCCTTTGCTGGGAGAGGTCCAAATAATTCAGGTAATTGTGATATGGATGGAAGATATTGCTGAATAATCAATCTTCAATGTCCAAGATGTATATGTCAGATTGATAAATTGTTAAAACGTTTTGGATTGTGTATATATTCTAAAATGCATCATAGCCATGAGATTGATAAATTGAACCAAATATTTTAAAACGGATGGAAGGCTGCAAAATTATGTTGGAGTCCATTCATGTTTCAGAAAAGTTAATCACAGTTATACTCTGTTCAGGCTGCAGTTCAATATATTCTTTCGATAATTACAAGAAGCTCTGTTCATTAGTTTTATGCTTACCAAATTTTTATTGGAAAATGACATTATACTGTTATTGTGTGGATATAGCTGGCCTAAACAATATTTCCGAGGCCATGCCATATGAGGGTAGGCCATTAGAACGAACGAAAGGAGATGGAAAACAGCGTGTAACTGAAGAAGGCTCCTCTTCACAACCTGAAGATGTGAAAGGAAGCAGTACAAACCTCAGGGCCAAGGATGTGTCAGACCAGTCAACAGAAGGTTCCACCATTGATTTCTCAAATATTAAACCAGGTCTTGCTGCAGATGTGAAATTTGGTGGATGTGGTTCCTACCCAAATCTCCCTTGGGTATCCACCTCAGGTTCAGGCTCAAATGGAAGGACAATATCTGGTGTTACTTACAGATACAGCAATAACCAAATCAGAATTGTCTGTGCATGTCATGGTTCTCACATGACCCCTGAAGAGTTTGTTCGCCATGCAAATGAAGACCAAAGCAATCCAGAGGGCAATGCAGTTTTGGGGACAGTTGCAAATGGCAATCCTGGTGCATCTTCTCACGGCTAGATCCTTGTACCATCTAAGTTGGACCTTACTAATATTGTTATCAAAAAGACAGTCAGAGAAATGGGGCTTTAATTTTTGTATAGATGAATGAGATTCCTACCATTTTTCTGTACAAACTTTAATAACCTATTTGGCTATTTCACTTTAATTACTTGTAGCAGCTGCAATCCAGACTGCAGTTGTATGTAATAATGATTCAGCATCATCTGTTCTATTAAATAACAATTAAGCATATGATTTTATGCCAGCAGTCACAGTTTTTCCTTTTTAGCGTTAAGGATAAATAGTAATGCTGTTTTGAAAGTTGAGACTGCTAAGGGCTTGTTATGTACACCATGGGATTCCAAAAGTTGAGGATATTCTTTTTTAGCTTCTCTGATGTAGCTGATGATGCAATATACTCACTGGAATACAACAAACGTCATGCATATTACCTCTACTTTGGCTCCTTATGATTACAAGTTTTGTCAATGCTGAAATTAATGCCTCCTTTGGCATCTTCAATCATCACATGTATAGTTTCAGGAAAATTTTGCCCCCATTTTCCACTTCTACACAGCCTTTGTCTTCCTAGTTGCCCATTCTAGACACTTGCCAAGGCCAGTGAAAAGAGGGTATGGGCAAAAAGCCAAAAATAACTTCTAGACCCCTCTATTTCTCAAAGGGAATTAATGACACTGCCATTACCCTTTGTTTTCTCCATGCTCAAACGGAGCCTCACTTATTGCAAAGGATAACAAAGTAGAAAGAGATAAAGGCTTGTGCCGACTTCCTTTTTTGTTTTCTTTTATGACTGATTGTATAGCTTCAAAATCTTACAAACTGCCATATTTTCTTTTAGAATTTTATTTTAATTCATTGTTGCAGTAAGATTTACATTATTATCTAGTCATTTTGTAACATAATCAAAAGAGTTTGACATAACAACCTTCAAAGTGTGGCAACACATGATTCAACATTTTTTTTTGGAAACGGATCCTAATTATCTCTTTGAGGCAAATCAGAACTCTCGGGTATCTCCACGGGTTCGACTCCTTGAGCCGCCTATGAGACTAATCCAGAGTTCGGGTGCGAGTCCAAATATTACGGTACTTATGCCCCTCTTCAGATAGTAAATCAAAATTATACATTATACTTTCTTTAACTCTTTCCATATCAAGCAATATATAACGATAAATAATAAACATTGAAGTCTAGCAATAACTTCTTAATTTCCGGGCTCACCCATAAAACTATTTCGTATTTATCACGTATCATTAGGATTATCTTTCGGTTTGTGTTGTCACCACACAAGCAAGGGAAGTTTTTTTTGCTTTGACAAAACGTGTGAGATAACCTTCTACTTCTTTGCTACGAATTCTTGGACATTACAGCTTTCATTACGCAAAAGACAAGAATATCCTTTATTAATAAGTATGTTGTAATTGACAAAATCAACTTGGAATTTGTATAAACATAATATTTCAAACTTTTCTTTTTTAAGTTTCTGTTCCAGGGTCAGCGAAACTAATACAGTTAACTTGGTCATTATTGGTAAAATTAAAAAACTGATAGGAATATAACAGGTTGTCAAGAAGCATAGTAAAGGATTCATTATCATCATTGAACATTGATAATATGCTAATTCCACATAAAGCTATATCAATCTCATATCCAAATAGAACCACAGATTCCATACAGATGCAGCCAGATCAGATTATCTATTTCTTTTCAGTTTAATTTTTCATGCACTTCGAGGTTGATAATTAGATCATAGTATTTTTTGAAAGCGTGTGGCACTTTTTTTGAGTTAAAATCCACGTGTTAATGCAAAGGTAGACTTCCCATCTCCTTGACTTATTGGTATCATGGTATGTATGATGGGGTAACCACCTTTCACATTTTTTGGTTTTGGAAGGGTATCTCTACACCAGTTAAGTGTGATATTAATCCCTACGAGCACAAAAGAACAATCTTACCACTACTTTAAGGTTTGTACTCTGAATATTCCATATGGGAAAGGTTTTTCTTACACCGATTTTAGGATAAAAGGCCTTATACTAAATCTTGGTTATTGATTTGTTTGTTTCTAACGGCTTACATATCTAATAAATCAGAGCTTTTAGATATAAATAGGATCAACGGTCAAAATTAAGATTGTAACTTACACTGGTATAAAATAATTCTAACCGTATAGATATATATTTTTTAAGAAGTTATAATTACTAAGTTACTGAAAGGATTAATCTTCCATATCTTATTAACAAAAAGATGGCTTAAGGATTAAACTAGTGAATTAGGGGATGTCATGTAATATGTCATTGAGAGGCCTACCAAGTCAAAAACTTGAGTTATATACAATTGTAGGCCTCCCCATTTTGTGATCATTACTGAATTCTTTAATATTTTAATGACATATTTTTAAAAGGAAGAATCAAATTGAGACGCAAAATGTAGCCTAAGAAGAAACCAAGGAAACTGACATAAAGAAAGGTTGCTATTTGGGGGAGAAGCATACAATAATGTCCATGGACAACAACCCCATCACACAAAACAATCCTATTATAAATTTGTAAGCTTTCAACCCACCAAATAACATTTAGCTACAGAATGCTTGAGGAGAACCATGAATCAACAACAACAACAACTTGGTGTTAGACTTTTGGTTCTCTCTATCTTATTCTTCCATGTTAGAGCACAGAGTCCACCTTCACAAGATGCTGTCTCTAATTTCCAACCAAGCCTTGCTGTTGTCATAGGAATCCTTGGTCTCATGTTTACACTAACATTCATTCTTCTCATGTATGCTAAATTCTGTCAACGCAGAGTTTCAGTTCCTCTTGGGGACCCAGAAAATCAACTACCAATTGGAAGATCAAGGTCTAGATTCTCAGGAATTGACAAGACTGTCATAGAATCACTCCCCTTCTTTAGATTCTCTTCCCTCAAAGGGTCAAGGGAAGGTCTTGAATGTGCTGTATGCTTATCAAAGTTTGAAGATGTAGAAATTCTAAGGCTTCTACCAAAGTGCAAGCATGCTTTTCATATTGATTGCATTGATCACTGGCTTGAACAACACTCAACCTGTCCTATTTGCAGGAACAAGGTCAATCCTGAGGACCAGACAATCTTCACATATTCAAGCAGTTTAAGGTTTCTAACAAACCATTCAGGGTTAGGTGAAGAATCTAACATAGAGCTCTTTATACAAAGAGAGGAAGAACCTCATGGTTCATCAAGGTTCAGTATTGGAAGCAGCTTTAGGAAAATTGGAAAGGATATTAAGGAAGAAGAATTGCCTATCAAAGAAGGAGAAGAAGAAGAAGAAGAAGATTGTGATGGTAACCAGAAGAGCTATCATAAACATAACCATAAAATCACTATATCTGATGTTGTTTTCAAGCATAGGTGGAGCAACGTGAGCTCTTCAGACCTCATGTTTTTGAATTCAGAGATGCTGAATGCTACATCAAGCAACAGATTCAATGACTTGGAATCAAATGCTGACATGATGCCAACTACAAGAGGAGTGCTAGAAAATGAGCAAATTATGAACATCAAGGAGGAGATGGAGAGGAAGATTTTCTTTGAGAGCAAAGTTGGTCCAATAAACAAGATTCAATCAGTTTCACATAAGGATCATCCTTTAACATCAGGTTCTGAAGCAAATACAAGTCATGCACAAAAGTATGTGAATCAAGGTGAGAAAAGATCAATGTCAGAAATCACTGCTGTCTCTAGATTTGGAGATTTAGCAATGAAAAATAGGGTCTTCAAAGATTCTTCTGTGCTTGAAAACAACCTTAAAGAGGAAAGAATGAGGGAGCTTTGGTTTCCAATAGCCAGAAGAACAGCTCAATGGTTTGTGAATAGAGAAAGAAGGTCTCAGCAATCTCAGAATAAACAACCACCATTAGATGTATAATTCAATGTTCACCTTCCTGAGGTACACTTGTTTGGTTACAGTCCTTGGTCAACAACTTCATGTAGATTTTAGGTTGTTTTTGTTGAAAAGTATATAAGTTTTATTGTTTCAATTCCATTTTATTTATTTTTTTATTCTTATGATGTGCATAAATGTTGGGACCGAACACAAACACACGCAATCGCAAAATAATAAAGAGAAAAAAGAAGAAAATGGACATGTAGAATTAACTACGATTCATCCAACGTGAGCTACGTCTAGTAATATTCATTATATTTTCTACACCTCACTTGTTAACGAAAATATAAATAGACTTAAAAATGCTGAAAAAATCCATTGATTTTCTCTCGTCCCGCCAACAAGAGTCGTGTCATTTGAATGCTAAGTTTGAGCATACCCAACAATAAAATCTTTGTTAATTATTCTATGACAAAAAGAAAAGATACATCATGACCAAAATGATAGCAACGCTTATAGACTTAAAATTGGTTTTAATTTTACTTTGTTTGATTTGATTATCGATTTTGTAATTGATGTACAACAAGAAGACAGCTTCATGCCGCTGTCTCAATAATATAATCCATCTTGGTCGTATTTTATATATTTTCCGTTCTCTTTTGCTTAACATATAAAAATTGTACATTATTAATAACTAAACTTATGCTACAAGTAGCTGAATGCCACCTTGGTTTCATAAATCAAACATGTTCTTTTGTATTCCCACATTTTAAATTTAATTATTTTATTAAGCAAGAGGCAGAAAAGAAGGATTAGAGTCAACCAATAGAAAAATAGAACGAAGTCTATAATTTTGGTCATTAGGTTGAATACAGAAAAATGTTTCTGTAATTAATGCAGATAAGTTATCTGCATTTATTCTCAAAACGACGTCGTTTTGGTATTAAAATCTTAAAAAATTATAAATATAAAGATTATTATAACCCTGAAATAAATTAAAATTACAAAAATACCATGATTTCCATCCCAAAACGACGTCGTATTAGCTTACTACAAATAACTTATCTGCATGCCGAAAAAGCGAACCCATAATTGAAATATGTATAACCTCATTAAAATTTCCAAACCAAGTGGTAGTTTTTGTCAGTTTCTTCTGTCTGAAGTATGAATAATTCACGGCACAAGGTATGCAATACAATATGTCTGAGATAAGCATTATCTCCAAAAACAAAAAAAAAGAGAGAGAAGATAAGCGCTTTCCACCAGGTTTTACAAACTTAAATAGTTTTTATATATTATGCTGATATCTAGGTACTAGCAAGACAAGGTGGTAACATAACCCAGAAATTTTGCTATAAGAGCTTTTTATTTTATTTTTTTTAAGAAAGAGGACTGTTTAATCGTCAATTTTTTTATTATAGCTTAATTTTACCCATTAGTTTATGGGAAATATAAGAATTATTTTGCAGGAATTCCTGCAATAAAATAATAATTATGTAATACAGATAGTACATAATTATAAGAGGTATAATTTTTTTAATATTATAACTATGTATTATGGGTAGTACATAATTATAAGGGATGCGAAAGAAAAATAACTATATACTACCCATAATACATAATTATTGTTTTTATAGGATATTCTGTAACAATACATTCGAGGACTCTTAGGGGGCGTTTGGTAGAGGAGAAATTTTTTTTTACCAGGAAAATACAATTACTAGGGAAATGGTGAGAATGTGAGTTTTCTAAAAAGTTGTTTGATAGGTCAAAATATTACCGGAAAAATTAGTTTAAATTTTCTGAGTCTATGTTTGGTTGAAGGTAAAAATACTAATGAAAAAATGGAGTTAAATTACAAATATAACCCCATCTTTGGTAAGAGTTTAATATGGTCTATTGAAGGAAATGAGGAACAAAAGTATTAGGGGATGATGCAGTAGTCTTAACCGAAATGAGCATAGATTGAGAGAAGGGAATTCTTACAATCCCAAAACCAAAAGATCTTACTGTTAGCAAGAAACAATCCATCAAAGAACCCGAAGATGTAAGAAAAACTTTGCATATAAAATTGAAAAAGGAAAATTTTCTTCATACAATATATGAGTTTTATAATTCTCATGTTGAAGGAGAATTGAAACTTTATATTGTAGAGATAAAAAGCATGTGAGATCCATGTGTTAGAAAAAATTATATGTAGGACCCATGTCAGCACGGAAATCGAAGAATGTGTAGGAAAATTGTAATTCTCGTGTTAAATGAGAATTATAAAACCCATAATATATAATAAAGCTTACTCATGAGAGGGGATTGTTTGTGGTTTAGGGTTGCAGTGTTGCAAGAAGACCAGAAGCAGTGTTGCAGCATTGTCGTTACTCAATGCTATTTTTGACACAAAATTCACATCTCCTTTTTCATTTACATGGGGAAGTCACAATACCACCTTCTGCGTGGTATTTTTGTTTCAAATCTTGGTCTAAGATAACACATGAAATTGAATCCTAGTTATCCAATTATTCCAGCAATTTTTTTTTTTTTTTTTAAATGCTACCAAACATAGTATTTTAAAATACCCATTCTTACTTTCTCATGCATCCCAAAAGAATCTTGCTACAAACACCTAGTTTATATATTATTATTACAAGTGTCAAAGTAGTTTTATATTGGTTACATTTTTTTTCAAGGGGGTAGGTCTACCTCTTCTTGTCGATATCAGATTAAAATACTTTTTGTGGGGAAGGGCGATTCAATAATAAACAAGATTAAAGTACAAGTGTCCAATTATGAAGCATGTGATGACGAATAAATTTTTATTGTCACTGTATTACTCATTTATTTTGTGACAAGTACCCAAAAAAATATCATATCATGTGGAAAGAGAAAAAATTAAATGATATTTAGATGATATGATAATTTTGTTTACATGTCACAAAATAAATGAGAGTAGCCTTGAATATTTGGTGCCACACTAGCACTAAAATTTCATCCTGTGATGACATGCGGATATTAGAGGTCACTCATTTGGGATTACCACCATAAAATAATAATAATAATAATAATTATCATTATTAGTATGATGTTACTAAATTGAAAATGTATTAGCCTGAAAGGAAGAAAGAAAAACAGTACTAGCATGCTATTGAAAGTATATATCTGATACAAGAAAATCAAGAGTGTCACATTTTGGCTTGAAAAATTAATCAAGAAGAAAAAAAAAAGTGTCACGTAACGTAAGTGACATGTGTTAGATGATTAAAAAGAAAAGAAAAAGAAAAATAATAAGGACGGCACTAAATGAAGAAAGCAAAACGTACCAAAACAACAAATCAAATAAGAAAAAAAAAAAAAAAAAAAGTCCCACGTAAGTGATACACTTAAACACGTGAAATCAATTTAACAATATATATATATATATATATTGATCAAGAAAAAAATAAATGAATAATGAGAAAAATGTTTATCATTTTAAAGAATGGTCATTTTAGTTAAAATTAGTATTTTTATTTAAAATTTAAATTAAAAAAATGATTTTCATTTGTATTTCTTTCTATTACTTAAAATGACATAATTCTATGCCCTTTAAAAAGAAAAATACCAAACTCATAAATAAAATATAAGAACATAAAAAATAAGTAAATAAAATATAATTAATCAAGGACAATACTAACAAAATTAATTAAGATTAATTTTGAATTTTTTAGAAAATTAATTTAGGATTGAATCTTAAATTAAAGACAGAGGCATGATTTAATAGTCCTCTCTATCTATAATATTATGCGAATCTTATCTTATTTTTAAGATATTGTATGTCCTGGTTTTTAGAAGAATAATATGAATTTAAGAAAGTAAGTATAATTAAATAAAAAGTAAAATTTAATTGACTATATATAAAAGAAAAGTAGATAATGCCTTATTAATTAAATAACTAATGATAATAAGCCAAAATTATAATCTAATTAATCTTTTTGGTCCTTGCTTGGATATATAAAAGTGTGAAACTAATGTGGTTTAGGCAAAAACAGCTATTTGACTTAAAGATTGGCAAAGAAACACTCTACTCAACACTTGAGACAACATTCGCATTTTGTGGGAAGGTTTGGGAGAAAACCATTGTTTCCATGTTGACTGGTCTATAGAAAACTGGCATTAAACCATTCATTCTCTGGAAAATGGAAACCACACAATTCCTCATGTCAGTTGTATATATATCTTTCCTTTTTTCCACATAAACATAAAGGTAACCTAAAATACATTTACTCAATGTAAAATTTTTTGAACTGTATCAATATTTTGCAATTACACATTTAATCTCTTTAATGTCATCGAAGTTTGTTTTTGGTTTCCGTAGATTTAATTCTGACAACGTTGATCCATAACTTTTTTTTAATTGAATCAATTAAGTGCGCTTATTAACCTGTCATTGATGTAGCACTCATATTTTGCTTTAATTGAATCAATTAATTCCGTAGATAGTAATTTAATAAATATGCTTTTGAATTTTGAGAATGATATAACCTTCATGAGTATTCACCCTCAAGTATTTGGTTACGCATCCGTAAAATGTATGTAGCACCGATACCGACACGGGACACGTGACACGATACTCTGACACGTTAATTCTAAAAAATATTAGATTTCAACATATTAGGACACGTTTTGATATTAAATAATTTTTAATTTATGTACTGTATATTATATTTCATATTTAATAATTTAACAAAAAAATGAAACTAAACTTAAAATATTCATCAATTTTGCAAAGAAACATAAGATATCTCAAATATTTATATTAAATGGTAATCGTAATCCAACGAATCTAATAGTTGAAACTAAAAACTCAACGCAACTTTTGAACATTTTTTGAATTTCTATAACGCGGAGTGTCGGAGAGTGTCAGAGTGTCGGAGAGTGTCGGGAAGTGTCGGATATGACACGTTAAAATTTTTGAAGTGTCGGTGTTTCATAGCGTAAAATAACCAAAAGTTACAAATAAGATTATACTTTTTTTGTGTGTGACTAAGAATATTTTGTCATATGATCAATCCATAGAAAAACATTTGTCCATGACCAAAAAAATCTAAATTGCATGAATTTCAAAAAACAAATTCAATCATGTACATATATTTAATATTTACAAAGGAGTAATTACCAAAAAGAAACCTAACCTATCCATTCAGCTACTAAAAGATTGAATTACGGGGAATATTCTGGATCTATTGCTCTCTTTGCATTTTTTGGTTAATTGCAACCTTGGATTGCAATTGTCCAAAATAAGCAAAGGTAAAATATATATTGGTGTAGAGCCAAACTTCAAAAAGTTGACAAAGCTAACACTCAATTCTTCTACCAGTCCTCAAGCCATTCAGGCACGTTAAGTTCTTCTAACTCATCATGTAATGGGGACCCCAGAGAACCACTAGTACAATCCTCAGAATGAACTTCTAAGTGTTGTGTTATACGAGAAATAATTTCCTGAGGAACAGGAAATGTGTGGTGTCTAATCCCTTCCCATTCAACTCCATTAAACCATGGGTGACTCTTGACAGAATCAGTACCTTGGCTACCAAGTCTAGTGTTTTCATCCACTTCAAGTAACTGAACAAAATAGTCAAATAAAAAGAATAAGTATGCATAGATATTCTCATGCATGCATGCACCATGTATGTTCAACTTTTAAGCATGCAAAACAACACACACACTGTCTAAGAGAAAGAGAGAATCGTAGTTCTTGCAAATAAATACCTTGGAGATGAGATCAACAGCTTCAGGGCTGAAAGTTTCTGGAATATTTAGCTTCCGTTTTGCAATTTTGGCAACTGTATCAAGTTCATTTTCTCTCCATGATCCAAATGGCATCTCACCCCTTAACATAAAATATATTAAAACTCCCAACGCCCACCTGCATAATCATCAATGAATTTTGTCAGCTTGACATCCACAAAACAGAACGCTGTCAAGGAACATAGGATCATGTTCTAAGCTAATCGAAAACCCTAGGACAACGTATGTTAAATACCATTCACTCCAATTTGATATAATTGCAACATATTGATTACAGTTCAAATGAATTTACATTCAGCAAATGGAATACTATTTTAGGTTATCTATGTGTTTTGAGGAAATATAGAAAGAAGTGCACTGCTGATAGGAGGAATCGTGTGGTTTATAGAGAGAATCAATGGTTTTAAACAAATTTCAATTATACCAGTCAGCGGGGAAACCATGGCCTTTTCCCAAAATAATCTCGGGAGCTAGTGAATCTGCCATCCCACATATTGTGAATGTTCTTTCACCAAAGAGTTTCTTTCCAAATCTGAAGTCCACCAGCTACAACCAGTAACATATATTTAAGAATAATTGATAACATTGTGCTAAAATATGAATAATTGTCGACAGATGTCTATTATCCACAGGTATGTTTTAGGACAAAAAATATATCAGTCCACAGTGACATAAGTCAAATAAACATCAGTGATACTAAACTACTGCCCTGGTGGAATGGCGGCAAATTTCCCAAAATGCCATAGGATGTGCATGACATTGTGGCTTGTTGGTGGTGGCACCATGGCTATTGCAGCGTGGCGGAGCTACAATTCACATGGAGGATGACTACCCTTTTTTAAGGGTATTTTGGAGTTTTCGACTAACAATTATCCACTTGATGATGCTAATGTCAATGAGAATGGAGATTACATTGGGGATGAGGAGGATTATATTTTTAATTTTGTCCTATTTTGTCCTTGTCTAGACTTGATTTGTTACAATGTTGCTACTTGCTAGTTTCTAGAGACATTATGACAAATATTTTATGTTTTTGTATTTGTCTGTGTTTTGTGTTCGTTGTACTGCATTCAGAGGTGGAGGCTGGGGGGATGTGAGTGAGCTATGGTTCCTCCGGCTTTGATATTTTATATATATGCTGAGTATATTTACCTTGGTGGCTCACACCAGTAAAATAATTTCTACTGCATCTCACTTATTATATTTTCCATAAATAAGGTAATTGATGACATTTATTTCATTACTTTGTATTTACTTTGAAAGTTTCTAATTTATAGCATGTTGATAATGAATTGAACTTATTTCATTTTTATGCTTATATTGTATGATAGTTAGATTTCCTTCAACTTAAGATGTCTGAAGACATATATCTAGGCTATAGTCTCGGCCCCCTCGCATTAACATCCTAGCTCCACCCCCGGCAGCATTATATTAGAGTTTGTAAATTGTGATACTTTTAGTAAGTTTTATACACTAGAAAACGTTTGAATTATCTCCATTATTCTTGATATAAGTTGTTACATTTGTATTATTTATATTATGCAAGTTTTGTAGTATATTTCATAGTTTTATAACATGGTCAACATTTGCCAACACCATCTGCCATAATTCCTTGGTGGATTCATCATTAATAACCTTGATAAACATGAACATGACAAAAAAACATTGATACAAAAGTTTCCAAACCTGTATCCGTCCTGTTTGCTCCAACATCAAAACATCAGGTGACACACCTCTGTAGAGAACACCATTCTGAAATTCAAATATGAAATACATGAGAGAGGAAAGTAAGAGAACCTTAGCCACTAGCCAAAGATAGCAAAAATATAAGGCAAAATAATAATAATTATTATTATTATTTTTTGGTAAGTGGCAAAATAATTATTTTAGATACAAGACCTTGTGCAAATCTTCTAAGGCAGTAATGACAGAAGCAGCGCAAAACTGCGCTGCTGATTCACCAAAAGGACTTGAAAGTATGGTAGACAAAGGGCAAGCGAGACGTGTATTTAGCAGTATTCCAGCATATATGCGGTCAGCAAAAGTGCATAAAACCTGTGGTATACAAGCTGAACAGCTCATACCCTTAATCAAATCTCTCTCTTTCAAGACTTGTGATTCCTTTCCTAGCTTTTTCACCTTTGGCTTAGAAAATCTCTTCAAAGTAAGCAAATTTTCTGCTAGCAAAATGTATTCATGCAGGAAATAGCATTAGCAAAATCAGAATCCAACAAATACTATTTTTTTTTTATCACTATTGACTACATTAAATGATATTAATTGATGAAGGAAAAGGTAACCAAGACACCAAAGAAGAAAAAGAAGTCGGAAAATTTTTAAGAATATATTGATATTCCACTAAAAGGCTAGGTCTACATCCATTTAATCCTCCAAAGATTTTTCACATTCCAATGACTACATCAGTCTTCAATTTTGATTAATTAAGAAGGAAACTAATCCTCAAAAGATTATGTTTATATCAATTTACTACACAAAAGGACTTGATTGAATCAAATTTGGAGACTGATGGATCAATTCATGTATCCATTATTTCCGGAATTAAAGCATTCATTAGTCAAATTTTGAGCAAGAAATTGGAGAAAGACTTATCTACCCGAGTCTCTCAAATTTGCAAGCCCAATCTCAGAGCAGTCAGTGGAATATAGGGTCTTTCTCCACTCCTACCATAAAAAGGTACATAAGCTAATTTGAGGATCTCAAGCTCGATGTGTTGGAAGAAAACAGAAAACTCTTACCAAATCTGAGAACTGGACTTTATCTAGGGATGAAAAGTCAAAACTTCCAGCCAACTCCTTGGAATTATCCATCGACCTATGGTCAAATTAATGGTGCCGATGATATGAGCTTTTTTTTAAGAATACCATATAAGCGAATAAGCAAAACCACAAAGTTGTTGTCTGATACATTCACATATTAAAACATACTTCTGATCTTCCTGAGAAATCTTTGGTAAGGAGCCAATAACTGATTCAAATTTTTCCTTTGTTAGTAAAGCACATACAACGTCACCAACGGCAACAGCACTTAAGGAACCAATATGTTCACCAAGAAGGGCCCATTCACCAAAATAGCTTGCCTCAGGCTTCTCTATTGACAGTTCTCTTCTGCTCTGCAAATCATCATCCTCATTTTGGATGTCAGGCTTGAGGCTGCAGGCATTTGGACTCGTCAATAAATCAGAATCGAAAGTGATTTTCACTCGTCCCTTCTGGATAATGTACAATGCAAGGACTTCATTCTGCAAAGACATGCCGAAGAACTTAAGAAAATAACAGAGAATAAATAGACAAAAATAACCAATCAAAAGCATACTTCATCAATTATTGTCTGCCCGCTTGAGAAGGAAACTTCAGAAAGGGAGTCAGAAATCTGACTCAGTTGTAATATTGACAATTTTGAGAGGAGATCTATAGACCGAAGCATCTTCAAGGACGATAAGTTAGAGAATTCTGACATTAAAATCCCTCTAAAATCTTCTCGCTTTAAAGCCCAGAGTGTTCCTTTTGTTACAGCACGTACAGAAGCCTGGAGTGGTTTATTGTACCTGTAATGCCACATTACCGGGGAAAAGAAAAAAAAAGGGGGGGGGGGGGGGGGGGGGGGGGGGGGGGGGGGGGAGTTATGATTTGCAAGGCAAAAAAGTAATATTGTCATAGCAGGCAGCAGCTATAAATGAAAAAATAAGAAAAGACATGAAAATGACTTTAGATATTCCCAGTCAAAATGAAATGAAAAAATGCAAAAGCATCATAGTCAATTGCCCATATTCTGGAATATTGCAATTATGGTTTAACTTTATATGCCTGTCAGGATAACAGTCCTGGACAAAACTAATACCAAAAGTGGAGGAAACTTTAATGGCCTTATAGCCAGATATTTCTCAAGTAAAAAAAAACTACTTCAATTTCGTGGAAGGACCACAAGAAGGGAAAAAAAGAAGAAAAAAGACTGACTCACATTAGAGCAAGTTCTCCAAAGCATGATAGTTTTTCAGCTGTATAGCGCTGCAAAACCCTAGGTACCTCCCCATCTTTTTCTTCCTGCCATTGTGGTAAATGTTGAACAAGAATTTGTAACACATCTCATGGACAATACAGAAACGAACACAAAATTTTAGAAAAGATTAGGTACAAGCAGCATCCCTTATATGGCCCTAGACCTTGAAAACATGATTTCATCTTGACTATACCAAGGGAAAAGCCAATTATAAGAGCTGGACGGGGGAAACAGGTTTAAAAATAACACAAAGGTAGTTTTTCTAAGAGGTTATGTATGGGGGCCAACTTTATCATGAATGAAAAATTGCTGGTTTGGAAAGCTGAGAAATATTTAGAAGTTTTGCAAGCCTGGTACTATTGCCCTTGCCTTTGCCAGTGGCTAGGATAATTTTCAATATTTGCCTAAAAGAATAGCTATGGAGCCATCACAGAGAACAATGAATTTGCCTACAGATAATATTCAAAATTTGCCACAGAGATCAATTAAATTGAGATTGCAATGAAATGACGAAATTTATTCACCTGAGTCGCCAAGACTTCAAATTCTCCACTACCAACAACATAAAAACAGTCACCTTCACCACCCTGCAAATTATAACTTTTGTCACACTTGTGTAATTATAAAATACAAACTACGCCAAAAAAGAAACAAATAGTAACAGAAATTTTGAAAAAGATCCAATGCAAGTTCCATACAAACTCCATTTTCTCTCAGAAATCTACAGAAGTTGGAGAACAATGGTACTCAAGAATTTTCAAGTTTCAACGACAAAACTGACCTGTTTGACTATAATATCCCCAGGTTGGACCTCAACTCTTTGCATGCAATCCAATAAAACATGACCCTGAGAATCAGTAAGTTTTCGGAAGAGGAAATGATCATGCAACGCCTGCTCTATGTGTGCCTGTGGCATATGAAGAAGAAGCACCATCAAAGGTTTGCAGTTTTTGAACTTGCTAATGGGAGAAAATAAATCTATGAATTCATACTAGCATAGCGATGGTGTTAGACTGTTAGCAATGCAAATAAAGAGTGAAAAATAGAGGAGCTAACTAAATTGTAAGCAAAAGACAAATTGGGGTTTACTTCTTCCTCCCATGTCTTCCTGTGGGCTGAAGATGGAGGAACCCAAGCTTGCCCATTCTCTAGGGAATTTTCAATTGCTCGGAGGCGTGCCCTTGACAAGTCATGTCTTACTCGATGGTTCCTAGAGTTCCAGCCAAAGGTGGAAGGAGATTCTGAACCTGTCACCTCTACAACTTGAGGCACTGGGGTTCGTGAAACATCATTATAACTTGCTGACTGACCATCGGCAAGCTGATTTAGAAAATTAGATCAGTTACTAACAATGAAAGAAGGGAAATGAATGCATGAAGATTTCTAGGAAATAATATAAATGAATAGAAGCATGAAAAAAAGGAAAACAACATACTTCAGGTAGCCCATTTATATGCACAATGATGATTGTAATATCATCTGTACGAGTTTCATACTGGAGCCAAAGTCGATAAGATTCCGCCACTATGGCAGCACAAGCATCACGAGGATCTTTGAATTTTGCAACCTGGAAGCATGATGAAAATTTAAGAGACAAAACATTCGACTTAAATTGAATGATAAACCAAATTTAGATTCAATGATGCTTTAAATTAAATTTACAGAACTTAGTTCTACTGCCAACACACGTGGTCATCTATTTGTATCATTATCTGCTTTAATTTGGACTTTGGAAAGATAAGTTGCAAGGTCATTGATGCCTCCATCTAGTCTGTACACAAGAAACTTCTGACCAAGAACTAAGACATACCCTAGTACATATTCACATCAGCTAGACAAACATGACAATGAACAGAGCATCTCGCCAGAAAAAGAAAATAACATTATACCAACAAATCAATTTTTTTGGAAATCCATATTTATCCTACGAGAGGGGGAAAGATTTACCAGATAAAACTATCCTAACATAGCACTGAATTACCAAAAACGCCATGCAATTCAGTAATGTAGATCTCAAAATTAAGCTTTCCATTAATTCTTACATGTTTCAATTGTTAGTCTTAGTTAAAGACAATTTTCAAAAAAAAAAAAAAAAAAAAGACAATTTAGACACAAAAATTGTAAACAATTAGAGCATAGCCCAGGATTAATTGATTGCAATAATACCAGAAGATTATATTCAACAATTTTAAGAGCGAAACCAATATAATTTTAATGCTTGTTAGGAGTATTGCACTTGCATTGCACCCTCCCAAAAATCACTTCTCTCACTTAAAATCAACTTCAGTCTCTAAATGGTAAGCTTGCAATTCTGCAAATGTCAATCAACTTCATAATGAAATGACCACATTGCTCCTTCTCATTTGTAAAATATAACAAAAGAAAATAAAAAATTCCACAATCCGTTTTGGTAAATTATCACAAAAAAGTGATTATTCCTAACAACACCCATTCATAAACAGTTTCACCTATTAAAGGTTTTGAGAGTATAAGGGATAATAAGGTGCTTTGGCACTATGCTCGTTATGCTGGAGTTTGATGTATTTAGCTGTGGAGCATAATTCCATAATTTTTAGCAGTAAATTTCTTTCTCCACACGTTTCATGGGATAATCTTGTTTCCCTTAGATTCCTTGTGGGTTTATGCTCATGAGTGAATTTTCCGTCAAAAAGACACTTGCTGTATAAGTGCTTCTCCCAATTGTAAGAGAGATATCCTAATTCCTAATTCCAAATACGAGAGACACATTAACCAATATCAACTATTCCAGTTCGTGATTGATACTGAAATGTGATAATAACCTTGCCACCAACTTGCTTTTCTAGCAGACCCAAAAGCAAGTTTCAACAATATAAAGAGTAAAAGGCAAGAATATTTGCACTTGCATCATAGTAAAGCGGATATAAAAGAGAAGAGAGAGAAAGAGGGGGGAAAATATAATAAAAATTCTACCATTTCAACCACAGTCTGGCTAGACAGAAACTCGAACACCCCATCACTAGCAAGAACAAAGAAGGGGTGTTTCTGTGTGAGCTCAAAGACAACAATCTCAGGGTTAGCAACAACCCCAATAGTCTCAGCAATAGAATCACCTAAGCTCCTTGTAAAAGCAGTACCCGGGTACATCCCATTGGGGACCCACAACCTAGGAGGGTCACCATCATCACCTTCTTCAGTGCCCCAACACTGAACATCAGGGTCCTTCAACCCTTCAATCTGATCCAAAGTAAGAACCCTAGCTCCACAAAGCTTCACCCTCTCAAGCTCATCAGGCCTAAAAGGTGTATGATCAATGGACAAATCAACAGCCACAACATCCTTCCCTCTCCTCTCCGCAATCACCGCCCTCGAATCGCCGGAATTCGCCACGTATATCGTCTTCCCCCTGACCAACACCGTGATCGCCGTCGTGCCACTCATGCTATCATCCAAAACATCAGCATGCAACTGCGAATTCGTTGTCAAGAACGCAGAGTGACAAGCCTCAACAGCATCCAAACGAAACTTGGAATTCCTTAACAAATTCTCACACAGCTTCTGCTTCACGAACTGCGAACACTGCGCTCCGAATTCTCCATGGCCATCGAAAACCCCGAAGAAATGATCATCAGGGCTATTGCCAAATGGAGTGTGAATGCAGAAACTATCTTGATTAGCCTTATCAAGAGCATCAGGGTAGTAACCTCTCTGAGACAAGAACGAATATCGCAATTCATAGTCACTCGAAGGAATCTTAACGATTCGTGAACCATCTGGTGGAAGAAACTGTGCTGAAACCCTAGCGAGCCTTCTGATGCCTGCTTCAGAGTCTCTATTCAAGCTTAATTGGTTCAATTGGTTTATGGTTTCACCTTCTTGAGCATCTGAAAACCCAGATGGTGAGAAATCACCAGCAAGAACAACTTCACCAGTACCCGTTCTCACAATTGGGTCTTCATTGACGCTAGAACCCTTGCAAGTGTCACCGATGCAAACCTTAGAGTAAATGCAACCCATTACACAAAAAATGAACTTTAACAAAACCCAGATGCCAGAATTGGCATCAAGTTGCTTCTTCTTCTTTAACAAAATCCTCAGTTTGGGAATTATAGATACAGTGTGTGTGTATTTGAACTGGAGTGGCTAATTCAACTCAACTATGTCTTTGCCATAACGGTGACCCAATCTCAATTATTAAAGAGAAAATAATTTTGGGATGCGGCTGAACCACAAAATCTTTGCAATGAATGAGCAAGCAAGCACTCGGAAATTAAGAGTGATGAATAAATAAAATATATGTATGTTATAATCTTTACAAAAGTTACGCTTATTAAATAATTTGACCATGGATATATCTACAAATTTTTCGTTTATAAAATCCAACTATGTATTTTGACAAATATACACTTAACCATTTGTATTTTTTGAAATATATAATTGAGTTCATAAATGAAAAATTTATAGGAATGTTATATTTATAATCTATTTTCGTTTATAATTTTTTATAACCATATCTTAATCGTTGATATCCGTCCATCAACGATTATTATTTTCACAAATCAAATTTATTAATTAATTATTAATTCGCAATAAATAATAACCATTGATCGGCAGAAATTAACAGTTAAGATATGGTTGTAAGATGTTGTAAACAAAATTAGGTTGTAAGTATAACTTTCCTCATGAAATAAATATAGTTAGGGAAAATTCCAAAAGGGAGGGTTATATTTATAAACATTTTGTTCACAAATTCTTAAAAATTATACTATGTACTTTCAGAAGTACGCTAGGTTACACTATGTACTTACGGGAGTACATAATGTAATTTGCAAAAATTTGTAAAATAAATTTATAAACGGGTCATTTCCCAATTTCAAAACCTTCCTATAAGTTTCCACATAATCACTTGCCTCATTTTTAAAATTTTGAATAATTTACACCTCTGATTTAAAGTTTCTTTATCACTTATACCCCTAAATTATGGGGTAAGTGCTAAAAAAAATTTAAATAAAAATGTAAATGATTTAAAATTTTAGGAAAGGAGTAAGTAATTTTAGAAAAAACTTACATAGTGTTTTTTTTTGAAGTTTTTCCATATAGTTATTCATATGTATACAGTATATTGCAGCATTTGTTATTAAAAAATAATGGGAGAAAATTTGGTTTTCATTTTTAAAACTTCATTTATTGGTGTTTAGAAGTTAACGTGGGGTGTTGACTGAAGATGGCAAAAATGGTTGCTAATCTTTGTTGTTAATGTTGGGTTAAAAAGGGAAAGTCAGACGGAAGAAAAGGCCTGAGAAAGAGGTGGGAAAAGTTGAATTGATGAGAGAAGCAAATTTGGAAAGGGGCAAAGATAGTGTGTAACAGTAACATTGCATCTATGTAAGGTCGGAGTCACAGCTTTTGTTGCATGTGGTGTGGACACATTATTGTTGTTTCAATTGTCACTACTTCATTATGAATTTAATTTAAGGGTTTATTAAAAACAAAATTCATGTATCGTCATTTGGTATAATGTATAAGAGTCATGTTAGATAATTGTCAAAATTCAAATAACAATGTTTTTTTTTTTATTCTGTGATGTTAATTAATGCTTTCAGCGACAGAATCGTTATTTTTTCATCATTTTCAGTATCAGAATCCCTTCTTAGAAAGTCTACAAGACTCTGCATTCTGCTGCAGCATACATACCATGATTCTTCCTGCTACAAGGATATACTGATTCTGGTAAAAAGGGGAGAAGTTGATGATTATATGAAGTAAAGAAGATCATCCACATCCATTCATTATCACATACCCTTTCCTTTTCTGGTTTCCTAGGTGGTCCCTCGCTATATCTTTCAGCTCTTAAAGCCAATGGGACCCCCCAAAAAAAAACAAATAAATACTATAACCTTAATGTCAATTAATCAATTTATATATGATCATATGAACATACAATATATTTAAGGATTCGTTTTTTGTCATGTCACGTGATAAGAGTTTTTGACTTACGCACACAAATTAAATATAGGACCTACACTTAAAAAAAAAGTCAGGATCCGAAATCAGATCTTCAAGATATGGAACTGAATCTTTATTGCAGGAAGAAACAATGTCTTTCTTACAACATGATAAACTGATTTCCTTATATTTCAGTACGTCTAATGTCACATGTTATCTCTCTCTTTCTCTCTCCCTCTCTCTCTATATATATATATATATTAAAATCATTTGTATAAGACTACAACCGCTTTATGTATAGCAGTGACAGGTATATGGTTATGATTCCTCACATTTAATATTTTCATCTTTTGTATGGTTATGATTCTCCATATTTAACACTTTCACATATATATATAAGACAAATATTTGATTGTTGCATGTACAGCGGTCGCAGAAATGTAAACTCATATATATATATATATATATATATATATATATATATATATATATATATATATATATGGGATAAGTTATTGTGTCTACTCCTATTTTGCCTACCTTTACCTACCTCTCTCAACATCGTTGGATTACAATCTTATCTAACGGTTCAGATTCAAAAGTTAAATAAAACTCTTTTACTCTTTTTTTTTCTCTCTCTCTCTAACTCCACTCTTCTTCCTCTCTCTCTGACTACCCTTATTCTCTCCTCCCTTGCTTGCGATGAAGAAGACGTACTTGCAAATATCTCTCCCACTGGAAACCAGATACGTTGCTAAGAAACAAAATCGATGGTAGAATTTATGCCTTAACATCCACAGGAATGACAAAATATTAAAAAGAACTACGATGCAAGCAAGAACAAATAATACGACACCATCTTTTTCTTTGTTAAAAAAACAGGAATGACAAATATTATTAAAGATTCGAAAGCTGCAAACACCAAAGTATTCGTGCATAAACTTAGAATTGAGTATCCAATATTATCATCCTGGAAGAAAAGAAGAAGAAAATACAAATTTTCATAGTACTCTGCTTTTGTTACCCTTAGAAGAAAATAAGCCATAATTTAGGGCGTTGAATAATTAGGGTTGTTTGGGTTGAAACAAAGGTAAATAAAACCATATCGAATCGTTTAACACTACGTTTGTTAGATCACATTTGGAATGAGAGAGGGAGAGTCTATTTAATGGAATCAAAAAGCCCTTTCCCATCTCTGTTGGTTTAGGTTTCAGCGAGGCCCAGATTCTGCACAAAGATGGGATCAGTCATCAGTCATCGACAAGCAACACCGCCGTAAAAAGGCAACAAAATCAAAAATCCAAATATACAGAAACCACCCTAAGATGGGAAAAGGACAAAGTTATCAATTTCATTCTGAACGTGCTACATGAACCTTAACATGCTCTGGCAAATTCTATCACTTTAATTTATATACTCCAATTAACTTGTTCTTTTCCAATTCAGCCTTTCTCAGAGTACAATTGCATGGACAAAGGATGAAGAATATTTTCCAGACTTGGGCGTCTTCTTCATCGCACACAAGTGAGGAGAGAGAAAATGGTGGAGTTAGAGAGAGAGAAAGAGGAGAGTTAGAGAGAGAAAAAAGAGTAAAAGGGTTTTATTTATCTTTTGAATCTGAACCGTTAGATGAGATTGTAATCCAACGATGTTGAGAAGGGTAGGTAAAAGTAGACAAAATGGGAGTAGGCACAATAACCTATCCCTATATATATATATATATATGAGGAAAAGTATTTCTATAGCCACTTTAGATAAGGTTATCTACAGTTACCTTTTTAACTAAGTATGACCGGTCATACTTAGTTATAACAATAAAGCTGCTCTTTTTTTCTCTTTCCTCAGACACTGTCAGCTGACGTGGCGGAGAGAGAAAATACAATTTTAATGTATGACTGGTCATACTTAGTTAAAATAGGATAGCTATAGACAACCTTATCTAAAGTGGCTGCAGAAATGTTTTTCCTATATATATATATGGGAAAAATGTTTCTGCAGTTAATGCAGATAACTTATCTGCATTTATTCCCAAAACGACGTCGTTTTGCTATTGAAATCTTAAAAAATTATAAATATAAAGACTATTATAACCCTGAAATAAATTAAAATTACAAAAACACCATGATTTCCGCTCAAAATGACGTCGTATTGGGCTTACTTCAGATAACTTATCTGCAGTAACTGCAGAAAAAGCGAACCCTATATATATATATATAGGGAGCATTATATTTATAAACTTTTTGTTTACAAACTCTTACAAACTACAATATGTTCTCCCGGGAGAACACTAGGTTATGTTCTTCCGGAAGTACATAGTGTAATTTGCAAAAATTTGTAAAAATTGTTTGTAAACAGATCTTTCCCATATATATATATAGTAGGGTTATATTGACAAATAATTTTTTTACAAACTTACAAACTATACTATGTTCGACCGGTAACACTCTACTCAAGAGTGTCTTATCGGTCAGACATAGTGTAATTTGTAAGAGTTTGTAAACCAAAAGTTTGTATATATATATATATATGGGAAGAGATCATTTCACTCCAGAGTAAGATTTCCATCTTAGCCGTTGATTTCCGTCCATCCAACGGTTATAATTTAGGATATTATATTAATTAATTAATTATTAATTACACTATAAATGACAACCGTTGATTTCCGTCCATCAACGGCTGAGATGAGGAGTAAGACTTAAAAATCTTACTCTAGAGTCAAAAGAACCCTATATATATATATATATATATATATATATATATATATATATATATATATATATATATATATATATATATAGTAAAATTATTTCTGCAGCCGCTTTACGTACAGCAACGACAGGTGTATGATTATGATTCCCCACATTTAATACTTTCATCCTTTGTATGGTTATGGTTCCCCGCATTTAATGCTTTCAAGTATATATATAACGAGTATTTGATTGTTGCACGTACAGCAGCTGCAGAAATGTAAATATATATATATATATATATATATATATATATATATATATATATATATATATATATATATATATATATACCTTTTTATAAATTTATGTTCTTAATATTGCATCATTAATTAATTAACTAAATTATATATTTTAATTTGAAAAAGTATAATTCAATTCAAATTTCATTTATTATTTATTAAATTTTATATAAATGATAAAATATATTTTATCTCTTTGAACGCTAATAAATTCATTCTGTA